TGGATCCAAGATAAAAAGGGATCAATGATTTTATTAAAAGGAGATTTCCACCCTTCAGGCAACCAGATGAGATTGAACATAGCTTAGGAGGGCATGCCACACATGTTGTGAATTGACAATTTTGGTATGAGGCGTATGGCGCCGCGCATTGAATGTCGTGAGTGTATAACCTGATTTCTCTATGATATTTAACCCAAAATTATTGTGAAGAACTAGCTGACTCTTCTTAAACGCCAAAACATTCGCAAAGTAGTTTCTGGTAGTGTCTCTTTCTAGCAACTTAAAATTTTAGTAAAATCATACTAATCCAAAAACATTATATTAAAATATTTGACTTTTTGCAGCAATGGATGCTACTCTGATAAATTCATGTGGCTGCAATTTGTATGAATTGAAGTGTAACATTTCGGCCTCCTACTCGTCTTGTATAGAAAAGAGCGAGAACTTTGCAGCTAAAGCCTCCTAATCACTTGGTTAATTTTCTTCATGTTAGTCGCTAAAGCTTCCATCAGTTTCCGGACTGCTGAAACCACTGAGGCACCGGCGCCGTGGCATATCACCACAGAATGAGAAGATGCCGATACCGTCATGACAGTGGAATGTAAAAATTTTTGCAGAATCTGCTTATTTCGCGAGGTTCAGGATTTTATGTTTGTTTCTAGCTGTTGAATTTTGGATGATTTTAGAATGTACCGGTAATTTAATATTCTAAGTGTGCATATACAACGCAACAAGCTTCTCAAGGCTCCACCTGGCACCGGCAATTCCCTCCCTTAATCAAGGACTGCTACTGTATCTTCACTTTTCAATGATAGCAGAATGAAACTGATAGAATTTTCCGCTAAATATACTAGTATTGCTTTGATCGGAGCAGATCTATTTTTTGAAAGAAGAGGTAAAAAAAGGATTTTAGAAGTTCCATGCTAGATTTTGAAGTACTTCTTCTTTTTATGAAGCGATCAGCATCAATTGACAATAATATGAAGCTCTGTTAAAAACCGTATTCGTTGACAATTGCTCACAACATTTATAGGTTTTCTGTTTTGCTTCGGGCAAAATTATCTCTGCCCAATCTAGGAATAATTTGTTTTGCAAAAAAGCTAAGTATTTATTTCCAGTTCTAGCTGAACAAAAATTTGGAGAAAGATAATTAAGCATTTTTGCAATCATCACTATTATTAATCTTTTTCAGAATGATGAAAAGTGTGCTACAGCTTTTCCAATTATTCGAATGGGATAGAGTAGCTATCTATTACACATCAAATGAAGTTAACTACTGTGATAGTATGATCGACGACGCCATTGTACAATTTTTTTTTCAATTTGCATTTTATGTTTTTGCAAAGATCTTCTCGTGTTTAGACGGCATTCAGCGATGAATCCACGTATTTGGTGAATGTAGTGCAGAAAGTCGTATGGAGTCGAGTAGACGATAACATATTCAGGGATCAAATGGAGCGCACGAAGACTATTGCTAGAAGTATGTTAAGACTTCTAATCAATGTCTCTCATTTATGATTTGATGCCACAGTATTTTAGTAATAGTTCTGTGCCTGGATACTTCCGCAGATCGGCGACTTTTTATGAAAGTGGCATCAGCTATGGATATGACATCCAATGAATATGTGTATATGTTCCTTGGCATGCGTGGATATGCGTTCGGTGAGGCCATCACAATTTTCATAGAGCTTTTCACCTTTTCGAAAGGCATGAAGGCTGGGAAAAGACATAATTTACTTTTCTTTAATGGTTATCTAGTTTACCTGAAGCTCTTTGTCAATCAGCAACTGCTCCATTATGGCTAGTAACTCGAAGAAAATTGACTGTAATCCATCCTATCTGTACCGACCATTTCGGCTCAAGTAGTCTCTTACGTCTACTTGCATCGATTAACTTTTGCAATTGTTTGTTACAATATCTTTTGGTCAACCATATTTCGAAATTTAGCTTCTATCAACAGAACTTTACAGCAAATTTGAACTTTGGGATAAAAACAAGTTCTGCTTCATTGCAAATAAACCACTTAGAACTCTTAGAAACGATCATATAGTGCACGAATTTGATTCATAAGTGCAAAAAACAACGTTGTGATACATAAGCCACAATGCACATTAATCATCAAGAGCTTGTCATCTTCACCGAGAACAGTGACGCCTAAGTGGCGTTGAAAGAAATACCATATCCTCGCTTTTCAATTCACAACATTCAATTCCTTTTTCTTTTTGTGTGCAAAAAAAATTCAGCCTGAACAGTTGTTCTTCCAAAGAAGGGTTTCTACCACTTGTCAGCTACCTTTTTCTATAAGGAAGGAGAGCTGTTTGGCTATAGTTTAGGTTATGTGGTACTCAAGTAGTTGGTAGCTTTTCACTCAACCTATCTCAAAATACATATAACTTTTAGCAATTACATCAAATATATTAAATTCCAATCAAGGCACCTATAGTATGACAATGCAATCTTTTCAGGACAAGGCTCAACGGGAGGATTGACTGAACGTAAGCGACTTTTCAAGTTTCCATGCATTT